TTTTTAATGTCACAAACTGGAAAAAAAGAACAGATAGCTTGACTTGGACCTGTTCCACTATCTGTTACTAAAACCCATGCTATAGGCACTCCAGGAACTACTGTGTTTTCCAAATAATATGTAATCATGTATATTAGAGATAACATTTCACACCTGGATACATACATGCATTTACTATATTTCTTGTATGCATATTTTCAGGGCAAGTGCTGCTTATAAGATACAAATAGACAAGATTTCAATGAAATTTTGTCACATTCTATAGACAATGGTTTCTGGTAAACTGAGAAGGGTATTAAAATAAGTGGCTTTTTTCTGGGGTACCATGATTGTTTGATTTCTCTTTGTCAAGTGTATAGAACCTGTCATATGTTCATGATAAGTAGCACTGAAAAAGTACTCATTCAGATTTCTCCTGGGCACTTCCGGCAAAATATTGCCAGTTAGAATTTAAGGTCAGTGACAGCACATTCTCTCCCAACACAGACCTCCCCTGCTGGCCATGGGAAGGTGGGGAGTCGTGTGACCGTCCAGAAACACATGGACAAAAGCCTTCATGACTCTTGACCACTTTTTAAAACTGGTATGTAGTGTTTTGGTGAACTTTAGTCCCCATAACTAAACAAGTCCCCAAGTTTCCTTATTTCTATTTAGTCTATGACTATACTCAAGCGAATAAGTACTCCAGATCCTTGCAACTATTGCACACTTGCTTCCACTACTAAATACAGGGTATGTCCTCACGTGGAATTAACTGGACTAGCGGTGCACTAGCAAGGGTCGAGGGATCCTCCCACGGAAGGAGGGACGCAGATGCTTTGGCAGTAGTGCTCCAGGTAAATCTGATGATATAGCAAGTGAACATCAGATAACCTTGCGAATGACTTCCGAGGAGAAGGATGCTTTGTACATTTGAACTCTGTTCCTCTTTACTAGCCAGCTTATGAAAAGGGAGGAGTGTTTTTAGTTGAAGAATCAAAAAACATTCCCAGAGAAGAGGAAATCGAAACTATTGGATGCAAACCTTATCTAATTCTGCTTAAAACCGAAAAAGTCATAATACTATTGCTTTCTGTAAATGTTGCAGGGTTTTGAACATTACAGTTATTTTAGTATTTTTGATAACTAGGAATCTAGTATTGCCATAAAGGAAAACCAAGTGCCCATTGAAGATTTATTTGGTATAAATAAATAACTTTTTGGTTTGTTTTAAATGACAGTAAGCTACAAATCATGATGCTAATCTTAACTTTCAAAGATGAATTGTGCGGCAGTGATTGTGTGGTCTGTTTGTGCAGAATGTATGAAAGCTATTCATGTGCTAGAATAGATAAATAAATTGGCTATGTTGTTCCAATGAATGTACAGCACTTCCACTGATTTTTGAAAGCAGCACAGCCTTAAATTCAGTGCTTTCGCTTTAGGACATTGGAATGTTCTGTCATCACCAGAGTGTATTCTAGTGGTAGAATTCTTTATGTCACTCTCAGTTCTGTAGCTTTCAAATACTTTGTACGATTGTGGAGGTTTTTTTGCTTCCTTTGTTTTCTTTTTGGATTTTTGACATTCCATCTTCATAGGTCTGTTTCACACGTTTTGTGTATAAAACACTAAGTCTTGCGCTCTCTGACACCGATACTGATACTCTCATCATTTGTTCTTTTATGAATCAAGATGCTGACTGCCTATTTAAAGAAGAGAATGAGTGCTGTGCATCAAAGTGTTTGTATGTTCGTAGCTACATACGTACTGCAGTATTTTGGATGCTTTAGTCTACAATAAAACTTTAATTCTGTCTTGAAACATAGGAGAAACAAGATTCATATGTATATCTTTACCATGCACAGAATCTCCAATCATTATAATAAAGCTCGTTTTCTCCACTTCCAGGGTGAACGTTTATTTACCGGATTGTCCCCTTGAGTGAAGGGATTGGAGGACTGTTGTAGAATATGTGGAAGATAGCAAGCAATACTTCAGCCAGACTTTTGTGCTAGCAAGAAAAAGCTTAGTAAAATTTTTGTTGTGATGCTAATCATCTGGTAGTTTTTAGCATGTACTGTAACTTAAACAGGAATCTGGAAGGCCCTGACACATGTATAACATGTATATTTAGAAAGATATAAAAATAGATTTAAAAAATCACTGTCCTTATAACCCTTAAAGGATTGTAAGATGGAGACTTTCTGGTGGGCCTGGCAGACACATTTATAGGGAGTTAAGAACTCAAGTGGGACCTCACTGCCAGTATCTTTAGGCCCCAGAATTTAATTCCATGGAGTTCATTACAATAAAAAAATCTACATTTTATCAAGCTGTTGGTCACACATTTCAAACAGTGCTCCCAGCATCCAGAGAACACATTTGTGCAATCCTCTGGCAGTTCAGTTCTCTATTCATAACATTAAAGTTGCCAGTTTAGAGCCCCCATCTACAGGCCAGTATCCTTCCCACAATTGTGACTGGTGCCTGGCCTTGTTTTCTTGGGTTCCTATAAAGGAATCTTAGCTCTTCCGTGATTATAAGCAAGTCAGTGGCCTTTTTTGCCTTTTTACATGTTTGCATGCAATTTGTTTTCCCTGATATACTTACAGACTTTTAAATTATTAAGTTTCTGGTTTGTGTTTGCTGTGATGCAGTGAACTCTAAAATTGCTTTTAATTGAACTGTGAAATATCCTTTGTGAATAATGAAGGATTTCATTGTTTTCGAGAGGGCTAAAAGCATCCAGAAATAAATTGGAACTCTGACAAAGATGATCTAAGTCGTAAGGAAAAAGATGAAACAAAATTTCAAAGACCAAATATAACACCATCCATAACTGTGAACATTAATATTATTGAAACCTACTTCAGTTCACTTATTTAACCTAAGCAAGTACCCTTGCTATTGTGGGTTCTTTTGAGGTTTTCAAACTCAAGAGATTGCAGCCCTCCACAAGCCATTTGGCCCACGTATTAAGATAACATATCAGATTACCCATTGAGAACACATTCCACATAAAGCCAGAAACATCCCTTTCCAGAGCAAAGGAATCAAAGCTGCAGATTCTTGCTGCCTAAATTGGGAGGCAGGCAGGGCAAATTGACGTTCACACCTCCCATCAAGCTGCTGCCCCTGGTCTCGTTGCTGTAGGCCCTGAGCAGTTGTAACCACCTGTGGTGCACCGGACTTTCAGGTAGGCATAAGGCAAAGAAAGTAAATAATGAAGCTGGTACCACCCAGGAGTTTCCAGTCTGGTGAAACAGGCCAGACACTTGGAGGACCATGACCTACTTTTCTATGCGTGCATTAACATATTTATTAGTACAGTATGCTCCATTACTCTTCTAGCCAGTAGGGAGTAGCAGTAGAGGAGGAAGTCCCTGTTCTCATAGAATTTTGGTCTGCTGGGATGAGACATATACAATAAAGGCAGCTACACAATTCACAGGGCCTGGTGCAAGAAACATGGAAAAGCCTTTCTCCTTTCTCCTGTGGTCTCTCTTACCACTTGCGAGGTGGGCCTGGCAGATGTATTCCGGGAAGCTCCAACCAGACTACCTAAAGGATGGGGAGAGTTGGCAGGTGTGGACCTGCATCCCTGATGGGACAGAAGACACAAGGTGATTAGAGCGAGACAAGACTGCCGACAACCCCTAACACTTTAATGTTTTTCTTACAACTTTCCTTTTCTTAAACTGACATACAATACCTACTTTAGCCACAAGATGACCAATGCATGAAAAATACACAGTATGTGCATAATTTTTTCTAGTACATATTAAGCATATATTAATTTGCTTCCCATTTACTAGTTTAGAATTCTTTGTGTGTTCCAGGAAAATCAAACGGAACCCAGCGCCCCCTCCTGCTTTAATAAGCAACAAGGGCTACAAATACCTTTTTAATTGTTTATGGTTTCAGTAAAATTGTTACACTTTAAAGTGGTTCGAAACGATTGACATCTTAGTGAAAATTGTTAGCACTTTTCAGATCAAGGGACCGGTGCTTTTGCTCTGAATCCGCAGCAAAAGTCATGAATAGCGTATTTTCCACCCTTTTGATTTTAAATTCATTTGTTTGCTTAAAAAAAAAAGCCTAAGGGGAACCAAGCATAGGACGGCCTTTTACAGCTGGAAAAGTAGCGGGTCGTGGTCGGGAGAAGCAGGGACGATTAGAAGAGAATGGCTCAGAATCGGTCCCGGACGGGACAACTCCGGGTAGGCTGAGGCAGCCAAGCCTTTTACTTTTAACCCAAATTTAGGTCAGATAACACGGCGCCGAGCAAACTTGTGTAAAAACAAAGGCTCTAATCTCTTTTTTTAGAAAACTGACATTCGACACAGAAAGGGAGACGGAGCGAAAAACGGCACTGCGACCCAGCGCGCTGGAGTACGCATGGGCCCCGCCAGC